GCGAAAGTGTGGCACCCCACAAGTCTTCGCTGGGCAAGAGATGGTGCCGGTAACAGCTTCTAGGTTATCCCAACATATCCCAAGTTGAGGCTTAGAATATTGAAAGAGCATGCCGTTGAGAGCGACGAACCCGAGTCTGGACACTTACTGTATATTTACTCATTGGTGAGGTGTTTGTTTGCTCGTCTGTGTGCCGAAATCAGACATACGTAAGTTCTACCAGCAAAATGTAGTGGCCGCCACTGAGATCCCTTTGGAGCTGGTTGCACGAGATTGCCCAAGGAGCATCGGCTTCTGGAAATAATACTGAGGCTTTGGCAACCCTAGAGTTCCCACGTTGCAGGAAAAGCAATGAAGTGCACGACCAAGTCAAGCGGAACCTGTTTGACTCATTCGCAGACAGACATGTGTGAACATACGCAGAACAGGAAAATGCATCCAGAACAGGTGAACAGACCTTAGCTGCACATCCCAGCTGCATAACTTCAATTGAATTACGACTCACCTATGCGACAGATGTAGTCCCCAAGCGACGGAGATGCTCCGGACACTGGGGCTTGTCCTTGCTGTTCTTGCGCCGTCCGAGCCCTCCACCAGTGTCACAAGTCCCTCACTGCCGGATGGTCACTCGGGACATCAGCTTGACGTGTTCCGACCGGTGTCTCCTGCTTTCTCGATCCGGTTTTTGCCCCCCCCCCGCAATGATGCCGATGCCACCGGCACGGACCTCGCTTCATGTCACTGAGGCCACGTCTTGTTTGGTGAGGTGGAGGCGAGTCCAAGAAGAGGGGCTTCCATAGCTTTTTTCTTGGGGCACGACTCCAACATTGCAATCAGCCAGAACGGACGCGTACAGTGCGTCTTGGAGCTGGAACGGTTGTTCCGCACCCGTTACTACAGACCTCCGAGTGGCCTGGTTTGCTTCATGCTGCTTTTGTGATTGCCCATGCAGGGAAAGGTTACTTAAGGTGCCTCCATTGTCCAGGTTATTTGGATAGGTGATAGGGGCAACCACATTTGCCAGATACCAATTACTAATTCAAGGGATTATCTGCCCGACGACTCTGGCTGCAGGAGGTTGGGAGTGTGAGACTACTCATTGATCACTCCGGAGCTAGCCCGAGGTGTGACAACCTTTCGTTGTAGACAGGTGTCCTTCATTTGCTTTCGGAGCATATCAGCCACATAGGAGGAGCAGATCCTTTTTGAGCCCTAGGAAGTCAGGTTTGGTCACGGGTCATCCAGTCCTGGCTCACAGTGCGGTGGAGACTGGACTGGACGACCACCTTGTCAGCAAAGAGTTCAACCTCCTGGACACCACCTCACCTGGCAATAGGATGAAGTGGACTACCACCCAGGCAAAGACTCACCTGGTCAGGACTACCACCTAGGTAGGACTACCACTACCTCACCTGGTCAGTGGACTACCACCTAGGCAAAGAAATCCGACCTCGAGACGTAGCAAAAGTTTGGACTGACATCCCTTGGCCTAGGCGATACCTTGCAAAGCTGGGTCAGGAGCCTGCGCACGGCATTGGCAGCGATGCAAGAGGGGTGCATTTGTGAAGGCCCCTGCCCGAGGCAGAGCACTCGGTTGTTTGTTTGAGACATGAACTACCTTTAAGAACACGTCGCGTTTCCATGGTTTTGATAAAGCCATCGCGTTTCCAATTGAACAGGCTTGGCCTGATACGGCAGTTACGGCAGTTACGCCACGCCTTGACGTCTTCGGTGCCAGGCGCTTCAAGCTTGGCATCACTGTTTGGGGTATTGACGCCACGTTTGAAGACTTTGTCCCATCAACAGTGCAGGGCTTGATGCTCAGCCATTGCTGGCAAGATTTTTGTTGGTGGGGGTGTGAAGCAAGCTGAACAAAAAGCACCAACCACGATCCTTTTGGGAGGGTGTCTTAGAGGGTGCACCTCAGGATGTTTGAGGAATGCGTGGGGCCCGAGGGGGCAAGCGATTGAGAAAGCTTGCGACCAACAGTAGTGACTGGCGTTTTCCTGAGTGGTCTGAGTTGGTGACTTTTGAGGGTTGATTGGTTCAATGATGGATGAATCCTTCTTGAAGGTATCACTTGGTGTCCATGAAAATTGGACCTCCGTGAACATGTGGCACGTTTCCGGGCCATTCGCATCAGCGAGGCTAGAAGTTGAGGAATGGCAAGTGGTGAGCCACCACATGGCTCATGCAGCCCTGGCCTTCTACTCCTCACCTTTTCGTTCTGCCTTGGTGGTGTCTTATGATGGTGGAGGCGATGATGGGACCTTTAATGCTTACAGGGTCACTGGGCTGCAGCTACGTGCCGAGAGACAAACATGCAGGATGCTTGAGGGAACGTAGGGAAAGGGTTTTCTTGAGGACCTTCTTGGGGAAGAGGTCATGTTCCAATTCCCCTCTGAGGCTTCGCCTGAAGATGGTATCAAAGAGATTGCGCGTCTCAACTACAACTTTGGGGCTGCTCGATCTTTTCAAGATAAATTTCCCATGCAATCACCCTACAGAATTAGGACAGCTTCCCAACTGAACACCTGCACAAGCGACTTTTGATCCGTTTCTGAAAGATTCTGAAAGTGTAAGGACATGTACATGCACTTGGCGGAGTTATTGCCTGAAGTGACAGGCAAGAGCATCAGCCAGGTGTGCCGTCCTCCTCAGAAAGGAATGCCTTGGTCACGCGTGATGCTTGAAGATATGCGTGCCATCCTGTCACTGGCAGGGAAACTCATGGGCTATTCTGGAGTCAGGGCTCCTGACTCCAAACTCACAGTCACCGTCAAGGACCTCTTCAAGCTTTCTGGAAGATGGTGGGAAGAGCCTGGAGTAACAATCCCAAGTCAGCTACTGAAGACGGCCTGCAATTCCACCGAGGGTCAGCAGACTTTGGCGGCATCCATTCAAGAGGGGTTTGACGAACTGGCACAAAGCATCATTTTGACACTACTGCAGCTTGGTGACTATACTCCAAGCGGGCAGCGGATGAAGCACATGAACAATGAGTTAGTTCAGACCAACCATATATATATATATATTTGTCACGAAAGCTAGCACCAGCTAGCTGGAGTTGTCCTTGCTTTGGCAAGTGAGGGGCTGGAATCCTCGGGATCGCCGCATCACATGAAAACTTCATATGTAGGGGGGCCCCCCAACCCCCCGTGGGTTCAACTCCCCCCTCGGACGCCTCTGGGACACCTCTCGGGCATCTCTTATGGCATCCACTTTGGCTTAACTCCTCCGGGATACGGTGCAACAGATTCAACAAGCTCACATGTTCATGACATCGACATCGATAGAAGAAACCAAACAAATCATGCAAGCAGCTTTGTTTTGCCTCTGGGACACCTCTTGGGCACCTCTTATGGCATCCACACTGGTTCAACTCCTCCGTGGAGGTTTTGGGATACGGTGCAACAGATTCAACAAGCTCACAGGTTCGTGAACACATCGGATGCATCGAACAGTGTGGCAAAGTCCAGCCACGCTTCCTTAATTATTGGGGACTTCAATTCTAAGGTTGGCTGTGTCATTGCTGTTTGTGTGTTTTACATGTTCACAACGTTTTACCTCATGAGCATTTGCCTCACTCCGCTTGATGTCCCACCAGTCCGGATGCACCCCTGCTAGCTTTCGTCACCTACCCTCGGCCTCAAGTATACACATATCACACACACACACATATATATATATACACATATACATATAGGTGTATATATATATATACATACAGAGTTTTGGCCGCGCCCAACCGCCACCTACAGGAAGCAAGTTGGCACTGAGAATGTTGATGGGGTTGTGCTCACTGGTGGCTGTGCGCTGAACGTCCTCACAAACCAGCTCCTTGGTTGACGCAACTCTTTGTGCGCCACAGGGAGCTTCCCTGTGTCCCAGTTTGTGTGAAGCAAACCCGGAGAATCTGCCCAATCCCCGTATCTTTGGGTGGGCTTTCATCTCCCTCCAGATCCTCTAGGACTACATTAGACTCTACATTAGACATCATGTGACATCATGTGATCATATTTTGACCCTTATGACCGTTTGGATGGGCTAAAACAGCGGTACAAAGAAGACTTCTGTCTGCTTGACATCTCCGATTCCTTAGGCATCTCCACGACCACTTTGAAACTTCGTGGCCTGGACGAGACCGGCTCCATGTGCCTGCAGCGCCCAATGACTGTGGCCTTTCTGTCGGGGGTCTTTGGGCCCATATCCCTCCGCCAGTCCAACAACCTTTGCCACCAAGAGCCAAGTTGGAACAAGTTGGTTGCCGTTTTGTTCAAGTATTGGACTTGAAGGCCATACTTGGGTTTCATAGTATTATGAATTGGATTCACATGTTGGGGTAGTGACCGTTTGGATCCATCTTGTTGGGTGTGTTGGTGAGAGCTCTGCCGTCAAGCAAGGCCATACTTGGGTTTCAGGCTTTGGGATGAAGACAAGCTCGAGAGCATCGCGCGAAAGCGAGGAGCATGCCGATTATCCAGCGCAGGAGGCGAGCAGGGTGTTATGTTGTTGTTCCATAATGTAAGGCTTGGATTCCGGCCTTCCACTTGGACAGAAACCTGCTCTGGAATCTGGAATATCCTTGGGTGCTCGACGCTAGTATGTGGATGTGCCAGGTGTCGAATACCTGGCAGATCTTCTCACAGGCAAACTGTCGTGGCATGGCAACGTGACCAAGCCTGTAGTCGCGGTGGTGCGCGGGCGACAGGCCAGTCCTCAGATTATTTTTGAACAAAACGTCAGCAGATTTTGTTGGAGAAAGAGCTTGCACGTCCGGAATCCACACATCGCTGCTTGCTCAGAAGACACTTTTTGATGCCATGTTGTATCGTATTGCACGGTTCTTACATGGGCAAGTCCAATGCCGTCAGCGACTAGTCGCTTCCGTCATGTCGACACCGTTCATCGCGACGCGCGATACGTTAAACTCCCCGCAGGAGTTTGGTCCCAGGGCCCTGGGCCACCGTTCTCTTCTGGCCTCACCGGACTCAGCAGAGATGAAGGAGCGAATGAACCGGCTGAAAGCAAGACAATGGTATCGGCCTGTGGCTCCTATGATTGCAGCTGAAGACTTGGTCAAGGCCATTTCTTTTTTCTCCACTTCGAATATAGGAGGGACCTTGTGTCCTCAGACTTGGTATAAATTTGAACATGCTACCTAATGATCGATAAAATAGATAAGGACACGACTAGACAGATGCTGTGTCACACTCCAAGTCCTTTCCTTCTGGTCCACTAAGTCCATTTTCCATCTATGAGTCAGCCATATTCTTCTTCTTCTTCTTCTTGCGAGGCCTTCGGTCGGAACGTCGCATCCCCTTACATGTCCATGGCGCCCCGCGTCGTGGAGCCCATCCGAGCCTTGTACCCGGCACTGGCGCACGTGGACGGCACGGCCCGGCACCAATCCGTGGGAAAAGGCGATGAGCCGTGGATCCATGCGCTGCTGCTGGCCGTGGGGCGGCGCATTGGCTTGGCAGCCTTGATCAACACCAGCTTCAATACGATCCTTGGAAAAGCTCTTGAAGGGAGTTTTCCGAATGAAGGGAGAGAGAGAGAGAGATATGACATATATAGAGACTCCATGGGGTTGAACGATTTCTTGTTCGAAGGGTTCTACTTGGGGAGGTGGTGGGTGGGGTAAAAAGCACCAGAAAACACAGAATCACACCGAGTCGCACGCCTTTTTTTACGCAGGAAGGGCTTGCCGATCGTCAACAGCGTGAGGGAAAGCCTTCAGATGCTGGACACGCTGCCAGATCTAGACTTTGTACTTATTGAGGATTGGTTATTTCAAAAGAGAAGAGCCAGCAACAAAGCTGGCAGCACTCGTGCATGTGGATATGAAAAAGTGGGAGAACAGACTCCGGTGTGATCAATGGGACCGCTTGGGGTCCACAAAGCCAAAACAACAAAGATGGCCATGGCAAAGCATTACTTCCCTTTAGGTGACTGGCGCTTAGTAAGGAATGAGGGAATGGATCCCAGGAAATCGCCATTGAGAGGTCATTCTTTCATTCCCTACTAAATCGTACTAAGTGTCCAGTCTGTTTAGTTCTTTACAGGCCGCCTCCGAAAGATTCTTCTGCCATGTGCAATTGCGTAGTGCCTGCCCATGGAACATCCACCTTACCTCGACCCACCGTCGTTTTCATGGAATCGGACTCCGCCCGGAGGCCCAGGACGGCCATTCACCAGGCGCCCGTTCGGTGGTCCCGCGTCCCGCGTCCTGTGCAGAATACCCATGTGGTGTGACTTCCTCCACCGTGCTCGTCCTTGCCTGTTGGGATTGCTTGTAATTATTGCCAAGCCTGTCGAAACCTCCATGGGACATCTGTTGGAGACAAAGGTTTACCTTTATACATGGCAGCGCCGGTGGTGAGGCAGCGAAACCATGCTCTTTGAAAAGCTCTCTTGACTCTCTTCCGCGTGATTTGGACAGCACAGGACCGAGGCCCGCCTTAGCCCAAGCCTTATGTTTCTTCACGGCCATGAAGGAAAAAGGCTAAACTCGATCCCCCTAGAGGCTAGGGGATCAACCCTCACGCCCAATGCCTCCATCCAAGAACTGTGCGGTCGAGGATCAAAGGGGCACCACCCGGAATTGGGACCGGGCTCTCCAGCTTATATGTCAAAACAAGTGCAATGCGTATCAGAGATTGAAGCATGTAAGGGTGTATCAGGGACAAAAGCGAAAGGCGAAAGGAATTCTCCCGAATCTACATGTGGCCGTCTGAGCTGGAATGGCGCTTAATAACTTGAATATATTAAAATATATAATATGAATATTGATAAAATAATACAGAATTATTTATATATTTTTATAAATTATATTGATTATTATATATATAAATATATTATATATAAATTAATAAAAAATAAAACGATATTTCAAAACAAAATCTATATATTTATTATATAAATTCGAAAACAACAATACATATATTAATATATAATTTGAATAATAATTACAAAAAAAAATATATTTAAGAAAACTAATATATATTATTGGTGGATATAATAAATATTTAATAATCTTTTAAATATATATATATAAGGAAAGATTAAATAATATTATATTATAAATATATATAAATAATATTACTTATTTTATATATGGATTTATATAATTATTGATATTTAAATATTATATATATTTAATAAATATCTAAATAGGGATTATTGAAGGAATTTATTATTTAGGATTATATAAATTATAATTAAATAAATATATATAAGATTTATTTTTATATTAAATTTTATTGTATAAAATTATATTTATAAATAAATTATAAATATTTTTAATATGTTTTCTTTAATATATTATATATATATATTTAAATATATTTTTTTTAAAATTATTTTATATAAAAATAGGTAAATTAGGATATAAATCTAGAGGATTGAGGAATGTTTTTTAAAATATTATATATTCTAAATGTATGAAATAACAAATGATAAATTATATATAAATATAATATATTTATAAATGAAATATGCATTACTAGGATCGGTCCGCTGTTTCGTACGATTTTGAAAAATGGAAATCGAGAGATTAAGAACTTGACATGTCACGGATTTTTTTTTTTCCTTCTTGGTCGTCAATAGGGAATGTGGTCTGGCTTCTATTTATCGCATTAACGATTTTCATGCAATAATAGAATATATTCTCTGTGACCGGCCAACGAAATTCGCTGCTACCCGATTCTATTATAGATCCCACCGATGATCTTCTGCAAGTTCCTTATCGCTTGCAACAACCTTTGTGGCGGATGGCGAATAAAACACAAATCAATACCACTGATCGCAAAATGTTGCGCGAAGATTGCCAAAAAGCGCGAACAATCCCCCATTGCAAATATTCCAAACACTGCACTATAATTTTTCTAGAAATAATTTCGAGCGCTAAAGCCGCCATCCACCCAAATACCTTCATATTAAGGCCCTGCTATGGAAACATGTAACAACATAGATCCCACACAATATTTAAAAAACAGAGACAAAGACACAAAGACACAGAGACACAAAAAGATAAAGAGATAGAGAGACAGAGAGACACAGAGACACAGACAGATAGACAGACAGATAGACAGACAGAGAGAGACAGACAGAGAGAGACAGACAGAGATAGACAGAGACAGGGACAGAGACAAACAGACAGACAGAGAGAGAGAGAGACAGACAGAGAGAGAGAGACAGAGAGACAGAGACAGAGACAGAGAGACAGAGACAGAGACAGAGAGACAGAGACAGAGACAGAGAGACAGACAGACAGAGAGAGAGACAGAGAGAGAGAGAGATATAGAGACAGAGACAGAGAGGGAAAGAAACAACGAAACGGACAGAGAGAGACAGAGGCAGAAAGAGGGAAAGAAACAACGAAACGGACATAGAGAGACTAAGCAGAGACAACGCGAGAGAGAGAGAGAGAGAGATACGGAAAACGAAGGCAACCGACATAGAACGGGAGAGAAGAAACAAAGCAAGACCGCGACACAGAGAGAGAGAGAGAGAAAGAAATAGAGACGGCTCTCCCGATCTGCGGGGTATCTTATACACACTCCCACATTGAAGGATTCTGCCAGGATATCCGAAGTCCCGGCCCCCCGTCGCCTCATGTCTCTTGCCTCTATCCCCTCTACCGTCTGACTTTCTCCCTGGAGGGCAACAAACATAGAACGGGAGAGAAATAAAACAAGACCGCGACAGAGAGAGAAAGAGAGAGAGAGATAGAGACGGCTCTCCCGAGTTGAGGTATATCTTACCCACACTCGGGCGGTAAGCCCCCTTCCACATTGAAGGATGCTGCTAGGCTGCCCGAAGTCCCGGCCCCCGTCGCCTCATGTCTCTTGCTTCTATTCCCTCTATCGTCTGATTTTCTCCCTGTGTTGGGCCGGCGCCCGGCTGTCAGGCGTAAGTCCTTAAATCCATTTAGAGTCTAGCCCAAATCCATCCAGAATTGCGTTAAGCTCGGTCCTTTGTTCGACAGGTCTGAGGCACCATTCCGGAAACATATTCCTGAATATAGTATATAAATATACGATACAGATTATGATATTGTAGCATATAGGTGATAAGCTATGGGATCGTATGTTGTCAGATGGGCCCTCCTGCAAGGGCAAGGTAGCAATCTCCCTGGGCTTTAGTTTCGCCTTCCAACCTGGCCGCAAAACTCGTGGACAAACCCACGGTAAAAACCAGGAAAGCAAACAACAAATAGCGCAAACGATCCGTAGAAAAAAATCCGGTATTCTTCCACACCATGAGAACCGAATATGTTTGCATTACTTTGGGAATTTTGGAAAGCAAAATTGATATCGCGAATATATACCGTGTTTAGCATTATTTCGGCTATTTATGACTTCAAGATTGTGACCCCCGGAAGCAGCTACGCCTCTGCCGGGCCACACGCAAGTGGCAAAATGGATGCAGCAGCAGGACCGCTAAAGAAGTGATAGCTGATTAGGGCACCATCAATTTTGAGAAAACCCAATTCGTGCTTGCAAAGAAATTTCTTTCTTTTCATAATGCTTCTGTGGAAGAAGCTGTCTCCAATGTATACACAATATTGTGCAATGTCCATGATGTTTGCAAAGAACACCATATAATTTGATATTGTTTGTTTGCATGACGCTGTCTCGCATTTGAAAACAATACCAAGACCTTTATTTGAAGCTGCAAAAGGCAACTCGAACAGAAGGTCATTCAGAACATGGAGCAAGTGACCGACGCAATCACAACAAGCCAGAATGAAGAATGCGCATATGTATATATATATATTCAAACTTTATCAATGCCACACAAATGTACTCTGTCAAAGAATCAAACACAAGTATTGAATTTGCGACGCGCTCACGCGTATAGCTATTAAACATAGAATACCATGGTAAGGCCTTATTCCCTTGCGCATGCGTCCGAACGTTGAAACGGAAAGCGTTGGCGCACGTGTCCAAGAAATGCTCGATGAGCACGTAGGAACGAAGTGAGAAATGTGGACCCGGGGTTAGTCGCTGCGAACAATGTCTGTGGTGGACTGTGCGGGGCTCGAGCCCGGGACCGACGGCGTCGGAACGTAGCGGAATTGCTTAATGGTATATGCTGGAGGACGAAAACAAAATATATGAAATAATTGGATTATTTCTTGTATTTGAACATCGAAATATATGAAACAATCCAATTATTGGGGGGGTTCCGGACCGCGACGGAAATCATAGACCAATTATGAGGGAGCCAAGACTAAAAATGAAAAGACGAACATGCAGGAAATAATCCTCAAAAATCAAAAAAAACAAAATTGCAGACCACATGTCCACAGAGTCAGACAAGAGCCCCAATGGGGTCTGCAGTTTTGTTTTTTATTTTTTATTTTGGAGGTTTTTGCATGGTCTGTTCCAGATGGCCAGATCCTCGAAAATCCAAAAAAATAAAAGAAACCCAAATTGCAGACCACATGTCCACAGAGTCAGACAAGAGCCCCAATGGGGTCTGCAGTTTTGTTTTTTTTTGATTTTCGAGGTTTTTGCATGGTCTGCTCCAGATGGCCAGAACCTCGAAAATCAAAAAAAACAAAAAAATAAAACTGCAGACCACATGTCCACAGAGTCAGACAAGAGCCTAATTTTTTTTGTATTTTCGAGGTTTTTGCATGGTTTGCTTTGCTGTATATTGTTATTATCACATCAAATTGCCCTTTATTCTGCGAAATCCATATAGAACCCTTCAAAACCTTGCAAAATCAAAACTTTCACATCTCCCCCCCCCTCACCCCCCGCTCTCATTTTTTAATATATATCGTCTTTATAAAAATAATCTTCATCTGTTGTTGATCTGCAGGATTTGGTTTGTAATTCTTGTTTGTTTTTCTTGTTATTTGCT